TATTAAAGATCTCTCTGAGCCTGTCTTCACAGGGGAGGTTCTCCAGCCCTCTGATCATCTTTGTTTTTCTCCTCTGTACTCCAGCAGGTCCATGCCCGTCCTGTGCTGGGAGCCCAGCTCTGGATGCAGTGCTCCAGGTGGGTCTCAGCAGAGCAGAGGGGCAGAATCCCCTCCCTGCCCTGCTGCCCACGGGGCTCTGGATGCAGCCTGAGGTGTTGTTCTGGGCTGTGAGCTCACATTGCTGAGCCATGACCAGCTGTTAATTCACGGGCACCTAGTCCTTCTCCATGGCTGGTCTCAATCCCTTCAGCCCACAGCCAGTATTGGTATTGCCCCAACCTGCGTGCACCCCTTGCCTTGTTGAATTTTATGAGGTTTATGCAGACCCAGCCCTCAAGCCAGTCATGGTCCCGTGGTTGACACCTCCACCCTCCGTATCAACTGCACCATGTCTGGTGTTGTCAGCAAATGTGCTGTCACGGGTGTGAATACAACAATTGAAGCTCACAAGTGGTACTTGTTTTCTGCTATAAATCGAGGGTAGGTGTGCTGTCCTGTGCTTACTGTGAAAGTTAGTGTCATGTCCAAACCTGGGTGTCTATTGTGTACAACCATGAAATTCAGCTCCCCCATCAGTTCCAGCTGATGGCTGGTAAAAACACTAACAATTTGGCATTGTGGTTCAAGCTTGCTGTGCCTTGCCTTAGGAGACCCTTTTCTGTGGAGCACTTGAAATCTGTCTCCAAGGTATAGATTCCTGTTCGGCAAGTTCTGCTAAGGTTTGCTTCTCAGTTTGTTTATCTGTTTTGGTGTTGGCATTTTATTATCTAAGATTTGGAAGCTGAACCATGTACTTGTTTGTGGATTATTTTTACATTTTGAAATAGAGAACCTTAGTATTTCTTTAGAGCTCCTAAGAAATCTAGAAGTTTAGTGTATGCCTGACCTGTGAAGAAAACTGCATTTGTTTTTAGTGTGACAGATCAAGCTTTGTCTTAACTAGTTAACACTAGGACATATGGTAATTACTTGCCTGTAGATTGACAGTCTTTGATAATTAAGGAAGTTTTGAATGAAAGTCAAGTTTAGTCAGGAATGCTGAGAGATGGCTTGAAATACGTCCTATATTCAAAGCTGTTCTAGTTCTAACCTTAACGTATTGAGAAAAATATTTTTTCTATAAGTCTGAAAATCTTGTTTCTTTTAAGCAGAGCAAAACTGAATACTAACTTTGTCTATACTTGGGACGCATGGTTAAATCTCAAGAGACAATTTCTGAAAATACAGGACTTAAAGAGCCATACTCTGCTTAGAAAACAGATTGCTATGTTAGTGCTCATTGTATTTTTGTCTTGAGTTTAAAATTCAGATTTTTTCTATTCAGCTGTTGATCTCTAAATCCGTTTCTATTGTTTGGTGGTTCTTTCTGTAGAAATTAGGTAGATTGTAAAGCAGGGATCTGTTCTTGTTTTCCAGCTGGGGTGCATGTGTGGGCAAGTTCATTGTGGAAGTTTGAGAGAATAATTGTTTCTAGATCTATGCTTTTTGTTGTTAGGGGGTTTTTTTCTTTTTTTTTTCCCCTTTTTTTTCTTCTTTCTAGTTAGGCATTTAGTTTTAACTCCTCAATGACCAACAGTTGTAAAACAAGTGATTGGTATTAACTCCACCCTGGTGCAGTTTAAGACTGCATGAAGGTTAGTGCTGTAAATTAAGCATGTAATGCTAGTAATGAGAATATATATGCATTCATACAAGGCCAAAGTACACCTGAAAAGTTCCATTTAATCTTATTGGACAAGTCTGGGGGAGGCCCACAAACATGATCTTGGGACTGGAGCATCTCTCCTGTGAGGACAAGACAGTTTGAGCTGTTCAGCCTCAGGAAGAGAAGGCTCTAAGGAGAGCTTATAGCACCTCCTAGTACCTGACGGGACTCCACAGGAAAGCTGAAGAAGGACTTTTTGTCAGTGAGTGTATTGATAGGGAATGGCTTTAAGCTGAAAGAGGGAAGATGCAGCTTAGCTGTTAGGAAGAAGTTCTTTACTGTGAAGGTGGTGAGGCTCAGGCACAGGTTGCCCAGAGAACTTGTGAATGCACCATCCATCACAGTGTCCAAGTTCAGATCGGATGGCGCTCTAAAGAGCCTGGTCTAGTGAAAGGTGTCCCTGTCTAGAGCAGGATAGCCAGAGCTAGATGATCTTTATGGTTCCTTCCAACCCAAATCACTTTGTGATTCTTCTAGGATGAGGTGCAGGAGGTGCTCAGTTGACAAATTCACTGCAGACAATATCCATGTTACTGTATTGAGAGAACATACTCGTTTATTCTAATGCTTAGTGAGCAATGCCAGTAGGACTCAGCTATGGCTTTTTCCATTTTCTAAATCAAGAGTCATAATCCACATAGGTAGACAACAGTCGGTATTCTGATGTCACTTGGCTTTGTGTTGCCTTCTGTATTTGTGTCTAGAGGAGATCTACACATTCAATGCCTGTTCTGTAGTGCTGCTGAAATGGTTCATCCAGTTGTCAGAATACTATAGTTTATTTGCTGAGCAACCTCTTCTGTTTTCTGAAGCTGTTGATGAAATAATTCAACTCGGCTATGGCAAATATAAGTTACAGAACAGACTCTATTCCATAGCAATGGCACTACCCATACCTCTCCTTCTTGGTGGTGCCAGGGAAAAGCTAGCTATTGGCTTACCACTGATGTTGATGGCTCAAAAACCTTCAAATGATCACACAGAGGATATTACATTGTTATTGTTCAGAGATAAAAGCTCTCTTCCATCAAGTTGAAAGATAGCATGCTGACAAATCAGCCAAATAAATGAGGTACATAAAATTGCAAGATGGAGTTTATGGTTTCTATTTTGTGCGGAACAGCAGCCTGAAAAAAGTGTGCTATCACAGCAGTCTGCTTGTCAGGTGCTTGTTTCATTTGCAGATACTTCTAGAGGAACCCTGATTTTAGTAATGGTGTTTTTTGGAAATGGTTTGATTGTGGATTTCTTGTTCTTGTCATAAGGCAAGATGAATTTGTGCTTTGAATGTGCAATTGAAAATTATTCTAGCAAATTAGACCTATGCTGCTCAGCAGCTGATGTCTATGGGAGGCAAATACCTCCTTTTACTTTCTACCTTTTCCTTTCACCTCCACGTGGATGATGGGAGGCTGTCAGCAGCCGTGGACTCTGCAAGACCAAGAGGTGTTTGGGGAGCACAGGCATTGTAGCTCAGGAGTAGAAACAAAGGATTTAAGCATGTGAGGCAATTAATGAGACATAGCACATTGTATCCCAGTAAACCAATGCAAGCAAGCTTTGAAAGAACCTGTAATATTTATCTGGATGTTTTCTGATTGTCCACATACCTGTGTCTGTGTGTGATCATGCATAGCTGGCAGGCAGCTGCTCCCACTGCTGTTGATACATCCAGGCAGCCTGTGAGTCTCTGTTGCAAGTGGTTTCCTGATCCCAGCTCTAAGACCACCTGAAGATTTTTTTCCTGCAAGTTAATTGTAAATACACTGAATGGAACAGCAATGCCCTTCCAGAGCAGCCAATTACATTCTTGTCTGTAACTACTTTGGTGCTAAGTCTGTCTTGCATGCTTAGCTCATGGTTGATTTCTTGACATGAATTGGTGTCAGATGAATAAAGATTTCATTTCCTGGGTATTGGACTGTGGTTGACTTCAACTGTCATATCCTGACAGCCCTCTCCCCTTCTCTCTGGAGTTGAGAAGTCTATGAAAATGGGATTAGACAAGGCTGTCTGGCACCACTTTCTCTTGGAATGGTGTAAAACTTTGAATAAAGGCACTTGAATAAATTGCTGGAAGTAGCTGTTTAGAGCTTCTGGCACAGATGAATTCCTGTGGACAAACTCTAGGAGAAGTTCTGTTTCTCTGCTGATAAATTGGTTTTAACTGTTCAGGGAAAAGAAAGCAGTGACAGTATAACTGTAGATTAATTCTGGCTAGAAGGAGCATCAGGAGCCTGCTGCACAAAGCAGGATCACTTTCACTATGAATGTATTTATAGACTCCTTTTGCTTAACATCCTTTGCACCCTCTTTCTTTCACTTTCTTTATCTCCATGTGCAGACATATTTGGCAGTATCAGCCCCCGATGAGGCCCCCCCTTGCTAAATAAGATAAGGAACATATGGTGACTGAATTGCTTGCACAAAAAACTTGTTGCAAAAGTAATCTGCAGCAAGTCAGTAATCTCACCTGCCTGTTTATGACTGTGTCTGTATAAACTGCAAAATGTTTCTGTGGTCTGAAGAGTGTGTTGAGATTAATTAAGTATTCAAATTTTCCAGTTTCCAGGAAGGATGAGACTAGAATGCACCTACACAGTTTGTCTTGTTGTGGTTATCGGCTTGTTTGACAAACGTGGTGTAAAATCCAGGAAACAGTATCAAAGGTATTAGGTAGATTGTCCTTAAGCTTCTTTTGATGCAGATTAAATGTCACCTTTGTCAGCACTTGGCAGTCTTCCATTTTAGCTCAAATACAATTTGAAGGGTAATGCTGGGGGTGTTTCAGGCTCTGTTTCCTTAATTGTCGTTCCTGTTAGTTGTTTTTGTTGTCTGTCTTCTCTACAGCACAATTTTGACCTAACTGGGTGTTTCAGCACATGGCAGAAGTATAGTTAGTGTAACTGTGGATTCACATAGACTTTAAATCAGTTGGCAGATTCAGGAGGTGCAAAGTGCCTGAAGTTGCATGGAAGTCAATGTAGTGTGCTTGTTTGCATATTTGTGTAGTCTGTAATTCCTGACTGCTGTGGCCATTTGATTTGCTTAATGAACTTAATGAACTAGTCAATATAACCTGACTGCTGTGTATATAGAAATGTAATTAATGGAAGGCTTATAAGAATGTATCTCTGCTGAGAGAAAATAACGTGCTTTTTTTATAGCTTCTATTTGCGTTGCTCAAGAGCACTTACTGTACTTAACTTCCACAAATACTATTTGTGTCTTACAGCTTGCCTTGAAGGGATCTAACTATGCTGGTCTGCTGGAACGGCATCGCATTCATACAAAAAACGTGGAGCATGTTGTGGACAGCTTACGGTAAGGATGTGTGGATGTTGAAGGTTTCAGACACAGTGCAAATTATCTGTGGATTGTATGAAACAAAAGGAAGAGCCTTGTGTTACAAATGCTAATAAAATAGGAAAATACTAAATAATAAAATAAAATAATTTATACTAAATAATAAAATACTGAAAAGAGAGGGGTGCAGATGAACAGTCATTCCTGAAAGAGCCGTCACGTGAACTGCCTCAGATCAGTTGACTGGCATGTTCTATTATATCATGAAAATCAACAAGAAAGTGGTACAAGATTTGTGTGTCAAGTGTTTTTAAGCCAAATATGACTCCAGTTACTCCTTGGCTGCATGACAGCTTTTCGGAAGGCTGTGACAAGGAACAATACAGAACGGAATTCAGACTTTTTCTGAACTTTACAGGAACGAAAGGATAGAAGTTCGTCTTGTTAAGCGTCGAGAGTATAATGAAGAGACAGTTCGGTGGGCAGATGCTGTTATATCAGCAGGAGGTATGACTTTATGGAAGGGAAGTATTTGTTTCAGTATGTTTTCGTAGATATGTTTCACAAAAATACTTGACTGTGTTTGAAGCAACTTGAAATAATGCACATTCTGAAAACAAATTGCTAATCTAATTGTCAGAAAATCTGACAAAAAGCAGTGGTTATGACCATCTTGTCGCTTCTAGTATCTAAAATTGTAGTCCATGGAAGTGAATCCCAGTGCATGGCCACTTGAAAAGTTGTTCATGTGTGAAACAATACAAACTGTGGAATTTACTATAGTTATCAACTAAAAGGGATAAAATTCTTGATGTCATGTAGTTTTATGTAACTCTAAAACCTACTTGTTGTTTTTTTTGGGATGTGAGGTGTAGACTAACATACTACCTCATGGTCCCCTTGCTCAAACTGTCTTTCTTGCTTTCACACTTAATCCAGTGACTGGCGTATCAAGTTGGATGGTACAGGTAAAAAGTCTGCAGCTTCTGAGCATCTTGTGCCACTGATCAGTGTTTTCCAGATGAACCAACAGAGCAATTAACCTGACTGTTTATCTTTAATATTGGATTGCAGCAATTCATTCAGTGTTATTTTTTGGGATATGCTGCAAATACAGCATTGTGTTGCTGGGCTCTGACACACTGTTCACTCATCTGTGGCAAACAGGCTTGACCACAGCTTTCTCTCTTCCCACTAGTCCAGTTTGCCCTTAGGTACTGATCACCATGAAGAATGGGTAGAAAGGTTTATTCCTGGAGCATCCTATCACACTCTTGTGGATTTCAAAGAACTTCACCAAAGTGCCAGTTTGTCTTTGGCAAAATTTTTCATGGTTGAGGCAAGCAGCTGGGAAGTAATACATCCATCTGAGGTTTTCAGAGCTTTGTGTTTGCGTGCTGTTCAGAGCTTATATCTTCTTGCAAAGGCTGAATGAGGTTATAGTGTTCTTTGTGTTTAACAGACAGGAAAAAATCCAATACCAATATCTGGAGAAAACAGCACATTTAAAGATTTCTACTTTAAAGAAAGATTTTTATTTTTAAAGATTTCTACTTACCCAAGATATCTTTTCCAAGTGTTCCAAGTGGCCTATTTGGGGCCAAATAAAACCTTTAAATTGTCTTAGGAAGACAACTGGAGTGAAGCTGAAGTCATTGTTTTTGTGTGACTCACAGTAACATTCGGTTTTGTTTCCTGTCTCCTGTGGCTTTGTTTAGCAATACTTTCTAAATTTACTTTTGCTAAAAAATTTCTCTTATCTGCTGGTAAATGTACAGAAACTCCCATAAATCTCTTTTAAAGCTTGCTTCTGCCATGTTCAATTGCCTGGGCATGTATAGCTGTCAGATAAGTTGTACTTTTTCCAGTCATGTTTGCTATCTCAAATTCAGTTGTCATTACCCTTATTTGATTAGGTGTCAGTAGTTTTGTCCCATTGTATTTTTGTCCAGCTTGCCTGATTTGTTGTTGATATAAATGCACATAATGCTAATGCTGGAGTACATTCCGTTTTGGGTACTAGAATGTGAAGTGAAACTAACTTTTGATCTGTTTTCTTTGTAGGTGATGGTACAATGTTGTTGGCAGCCAGTAAGGTTTTTGATAAATTTAAACCAGTCATCGGAATAAATACTGATCCTGAAAGGTAAAAACATATTTGGGAAATCAGTGCTTTATTTAATATTAGGCACACTGTGCATATGTTTTTGTGGTACATGAGGCATACCTGTAGCATTTAGCAGCATAAATATCTGTTTTAGTGGGTTGTAGATACCAAGGGAATCTTCTATTTTTTTAGAGAAGTTTGCACAGGGAGTTGTCCTGTCTCATCTTAGAGGACATTAAGTAGTATTGGACAAGCATGCCTGTGTTACAGTGCCACAGATGTTCTCACACACCAGTGTAACAGCACTTGCAGCTAGTTAACTTCCAGAAGTTTGAGGTTAGAGATGGCAATACAGAACTTAGGAAGAAGGACTTGGTAAAAGCAGCTAAGTGTGGTGCCTGAACACACAGAACTTTAATTTTTTGGTGAAGAAGGTGGATCCAGTAGAGTCTCAGATGAAGTTTACTGTTGTTTCTTAATGTAAACAATAATATAGCTCAGAAAACTCCTGAACCAATTGTTGGCACTTAGCTGTCCTATTATAAACTCTGCACAAGCTGCACCCACCTGCCCACATCAATCTTACAGCTCAGTAGATGCAGTGTGTTAGTATTGCTTGGTTGGTATAACCTTCAAATGGACTGCAAGTGAAACTCAGAATTCACCAAGGCTCAGCTGGCTGAGAAGTCCAGATTGAGATTTCTGCTTGTGATACTTCTGCTTTTTTTTTGATATTGACAGTTAGTTTGTTCCTAGTACATAAAGTGGTGGTCAAAAGGTTTAATTCCTTTAATACCTTCTCTTCCAAAACTTCTCAAATGCTCTGAGTAGCTATTCTGCATTATCAAGCCTGACTAGTGGGGTTTAAATAACAAGTGCCTTCAAATAGTCACATATTACTCATGAAAGGGTTTAGTCTTCTAGTTTTGACATGAGATTCTTTAGATCTTAGGCTTGTTGCTTAGCTGTTCATGTTGCTAACTTGTGTGTAAGTGGAGAAAGATTTTTTTTTTCCTCACCTGCCACGTTTATTAAGCTTAAATTGCTTGCCTAGAATGGTGACAGGAGCTATACTCCTGCAGGATTATTAGCTGAACAGACAGTCTTTAGGGGAAATGTGGCAGAAACAGCCTGTCTCAGACACACAGACTCCAGGAGCTGAGAGCAGTGTATTGTTGCTGATGTGGTACTATGCAAGAACAGTAGAGTCCTAAAGGTCCCAGAAGTGTAGCTTTGCTAGATGCAACACATAGGGAGATTTGTTTTATTTTTCAAAGGTACCAAATCTGAACAGTAATACTATAATTTTCATTGTCATTTTTTGCTACCAGATCAGAAGGTCACCTGTGCTTGCCTGTGAGATACACACACTCATTTCCTGAAGCACTGCAGAAGCTTTATCGTGGTGAGTTCAGGTAGGATTCTCTGATCTTTGGTTTTCAAAAACATAGAGGGGTTAAGAAGCACCTAATCATGTGCAATTCCTAAGAAGTAGCTGAAGCTTAGTGTGAATTCTGTGTAGATATTTATAATGTTGAAAAATTAGTTTTTTGGTCAAGAGTGAGACTGGCATACAAATGATAAAATTGACTGCCAGTTCCAGAAAAAAAGTCTTCTGGGGTGACCTGCAGTAATTGATTTCACTTCTGACTTAGCAAATTCGTAAATGAGGAACTGCATTCTTGTAAGGGGTGTATTGGTTTATGTATTTTAGGAATGTCCTGGTTTAGAGCAAATTTTGGAGGAAATTTTTGAAGTGAAAGCACTCTAGAAAGCAAAGTCAAGCTGCCCCTCCCCCAGCTGGTTTGAAAATAAAAATCTCTTTCAAGAAGAGTGGAAAAAACTGTTCATTTAACAAGCAAAGTACTCACAAACATGAAAAAATGAACAGTATTAAACAATGGAGCCTGCTGCTGTTCTGAAGAGATGGCAGATTCAGACACAGCCCGTGTCATGGGCTGTAGCTCGGCTCACTCAGTCTCCTATCCGTCCCTGCGGCGCTGGAATGCAGCGTTCCAGCCCTGATGGGCCACAGGTGTGAGCTCCCTGTGCCATTCTGGGCTTTCAGTCCTGAGCAGAGCTGATCAGAAAAAGAAACGCCACAGTCCGGGGAACTTCACTGCCTAAGCCAGCTAAAAACGGACTAAAAGCAAAGGAGAGCTCTGTCCCCCTGTCTGTCCGTGCTGCAGACAATGCAGTCCATGAGCAGGAATGCAGCAGAGTGAGTGCAGTGTCTGATAACAAACTCTGCGCTTCTTCTCTCCTCCCCTCTGCTCTAGGAACTGTCTTAGAGATGCGGAAGTTAATATCCAGCATAAACTGAACAGAAAATTGGGGATACAAGCATCATAAGGACTCAAAAACATGTAGTACAGTGAATGCCATAAGAACAGAAGCTAATGAAACACATACAGTTAGGAAATGGTCAGTATGTTGCATTGGGGTTTTGGTTATTGAGATAGAGTGGCTTAAATTTTGCTTACAAATTAGTGTAAGGCAAACATTTCTTCATGCTGAATATAGCTTGATGTTTCCAGTACTTGATATTTTTAAAATAGAATAATCTCACTTGATTTAAAAAGAAACAAGCTGAATTTTAAAGGACAGACTAGAGAAGAGTTTTTAATAATTACTTATGAAGAGACACTGTTCTGTAGTATTATAACTTTACAGAATATTTTTGTGATGACAAGCTATCAAACAGAAGTCAGTCGCTTGTGAAAGTATATAGCAATTGATTTTTGTTATACTTCTAGCATATTAAGTTTGTAACTTGAAGTGTAACTGCCATAGAATAGTTCTGAAATTGAATTAATACAATTGCCAGAATAAATAACTGAAGGAGTTTCAATATGTATTGCTAAAGGAGCAGGTGCTTTCTACTCACATATTCTAAGATTTAGAAAACAGAAGCTTTTTAGTCCCTGTCATTCTAATTTGCTTAAGGAAAACTCATAGTGCTTATTCAGATAACCTCCCTTGACATTTGGCAATTTTGATGTTTTGTTGGAAACAAAGCTATACTTTTGTTGCTGACACTCCTGTTACTGCTCATTATGGAGCTGAAACCTCGCCAGAGCCAAACAGAAAGGATTTCTCTAATTATGTTTCTGAAATAATAGGAGACAATAAATTAATAACTAGGAGATAATAAAATAATTTATTCTTAAGCAAGGACGTGAGCAGGTGTTTCGTTTGAGAGTTCTTAGATTTGTTTGGCCCTAAGCAAACTTTGGAATAGGTGGGTATCTGAATCCTTGCCTGGAAGGGCTTTGGTATTTTGGAGTTGTAGTGGATGGTGAATTGCCAGAAAGGACAAACTATATCAGACTATCCACACTTTTTATCTTGGTGGTCATTACTGTAGCAGGTGCTCAGAATAGGGATGGTACAGTCCCATTTTCTACTTTTGTGGGGGATGTGACATGTTCTGGCCAGGACCATTCTAGTATAGTGATACTCACTGCATGCTTTCTGCATGACTACCTAAAGTCATACTTGGAATTTAAGGGCGGATAGGATGTGTAAAAGAGGCTCTGTAAAGATGACTAGAGGAAAAACTAGCAATGTAGTCATATAAAGTGTAAGCCTCTTGTAATTTTATGAAAAACTGGTTAATGTCACCTGGATATCGACAGTAAGAACAGGGAAAAGATTTGCTCATAACACTCTCTTGTGATTTGCTTTCTTAGTCAAAACTATTGCTATTTTGTTTTATGAAATATCTTAGGTTGTAGGAGGAAAAGGAATTTATATCTCTAAGGAAAAATAAAAAAAATTGGAATGTTATAACATGGGTTTTATATCCTTCTCTTGCTTCAAATGAATTCCTCTTAAGCACCCTAAATTCCTGGGCCAGGAGGGATTGTTAAAAGAGAAGATACGTGGGGCCTTTATATATAAAAGGGGTGCATAGAGCTGCTTTTCTGAACATGTCAAATACAAACAAAAGATGTCAAAATACAGCACGTATTTTTGTGGAAATTCTTGAGAGGTCTTTATTCTTAAAAGCATTGTATCAGTCATTCATTCACATATTATAATCACATGCCTCAAGAAGAGAGCTTATTACTTATAATTTTTGTAGGCTACTTTTGGCCTACAAAAGTACTACTTTTGTCCTCTTATTTTACACATGCAAAAATATTAGGTAGCAAATTGGTAAATATAAAGAATTTACAATTACATATTATTAACTTTTTAAATTTAAAAATTATAGTAGAAGCTATAAAACTTGAAATATGACTTTGAATATATTTAGTTTCTACTCTTAGGATGTTCTGCTTTGAGAGTGGAGACTCTCAGATCCTATCTAATTTTGTAATGAATATTTCATATTGACTTCTTTCTCCTCTCTTAGGTGGCAGTGGCGGCAAAGAATCCGACTGTATCTTGAAGGAACTGGGATTAACACAACCCCAGTGGATTTACATGAACAGCAGCTAAGCCAAGAGCAACACAGCAGGGCTCACATAAATGAAAGATTCCAGGATCAAAGTAGGTTAAAATCTGACAAGAATATAATCACTTTGCTATGATAACTTGCAATAGAAGATAAGGATTTGTAAAAGTTTTGGTATTTGAAATACCTGCTGTCAAAATACCTGATCTTTTTTAAAATGCTGTCTCTTAGAGTTACTGTAACTACTTGAGCATATGTGTGTGTGTTTGTGTATACATATGCCAACTTTTAAGTCAGGTTAATTGATAGTTGTAAAAGCTGGTCTTGGACTACCAGCAAGCAAATAAGGTATTAGATGTGAGAGTCTGTCTGTAGATAATTCTTAAACACCTTCAGCTCTTTTCTTTATGGTGGGTTGAAAGATGCACGGTTCTGTGCCTAACCAGTGTCCAGTACTGCATTTGTTCACTAAGAAGTCCTTGTCAACATGAACAACTTGTAAATCCCCTTTAATTAACTTGTGGTATGAAGTCTAATTCTTTGAACTTCATCAGAAATGTCTGTTAAGTCACTGCCAGTGAATTTGACTTGGCTGCAAGTGTGACTGACAGAAGACTTCATTCTGCTTAGTTGCCTGTGCCTTTTCAGGGAAAAGTGTCTGGACTTAAGCATCATTGCTGACCTTGGTTTAAATATTTATTGTCTCCAGTAAAGGACAGTGACTGGCCACAGAGTAAATCAGTGAAAAAATGAGTCTTTGAAAAAAATGGAGCATTAGGTCTAGAACACAAACCCCGGCAGAATCTGTCTTCCAGTGAATTGTGAATGGTTTTTGAAAACTTGTGTTTTAAATCCATGATTCAAAACTCTTATATTTGGTATCTGCAGGATCTGATATTTCTGGCCCACATCTTTTACCAGTGAGAGCACTCAATGAAGTCTTCATTGGGGAATCTCTTTCATCCAGGTATGTTTAATTGTTTATTGTTACAGCAAGGCACAATTGACTTAATTTCTTTTTATGACATTGCAATGGATAATCAGTGATGAGATTTTACTGTCAAATTTCACTTCTATTTCATAAATATTTAACACTGATTGTATTATTGCTGATTACAAAGTATATTTTCAAAGATGTAAGTGCAGTAATGTTGATTTCTGGTTTTCTGCCTCCTCTCTGGTTATTCTTTCATTTTTCCTGACTTTTTTCTTTTCCTTTTACTGATGACTTAAATATCAGTCCTTGAACTGCCTGGTCTCCTGCTTATCTTCTTAAATATCTTTTCATAAGCTTTTAGCATGACCAAGCAGAAATAGCTTTTATCATGACTCCCTTTTCTGGCTTTTTGTCATTAGCCTGCCTTTTTTTTTTTTTTTTTTTTGTCATTTGTCATGAGCCTGCTTTTGGTAGAAACCTTGTTATTGACAGAATATAGTTATTTCCTTTGTTTAAGAACTATGTTTGTGTCATATCATGGTACTGCCTTATCCAGGATACATTTGACTGTCCTTTCTGTCCTGAAGATCAATGCATTTTTGGCAGCCAGACAGTAAGAAGGACACTGGGAATATGACTGGGGCTGTGGTGAAAGGCATGATCCTTAGTGAGGATTTGATCAAACTTTTACTTGTATTTTATATGTTTTCACTTTATTATTTATCTTTTAAAAAATCCGAAACAAAAACAACAACAGAAAAGCCACTTTAGTGTTTAACAGCTTGTGTTTGTACAGTGCCTGGGACACTGATTGCTGGTACAAACAATATAAGTGTTCTGTGAGTGCTTTATTTTTTGTCTGGACTTCAGCCTCAGACTGGCAGAAGGAATTAATCTCAAAGAGATAGAAATCCTGCTTTCTACTAAATATAATCTAATTTTATCAAGATACTAAAAAGTTTCTTTAATGTGCAGTGATAGAGGAACACTAAGCTGTTTTCCAATGCTATGAGTGTCACAAGTACGTTGTTCTCTTGGTTCCTGTGTATTTGAGAACCACTGAGGAACACAAGAAACAAATATCTAGAAATAAATATGTTACTGGACCTTACAGTTGAAGGCTTATATGTCATAAAGGTGAATCTTCTGTTAGTTTCAAATATACAGGTCTGCTATTTATTTAGAAAAAATAACTTGAGGAGCTTCTTGTCAGGTCTTATTCTGCATGTCAGTGAAGAAAACAAGTAAATTGAAGAAAAAACCCCCCAGAAACCTGTCATACACAGCTTTGCAAAAATTACATTAAACTGAATCAATCAGTGCACTTGTGTTCTTAATTTACTTTCAGTTCTCTAATCTCCCCATCTTTTCAAGAGTGATTACAAAACATGCCCTTAGTTACTGAGAATGTAAACTGCTTGGCACCAAACAGCCAAGAGCTGTGTTTCTAGACTGAAATAATAGCTCAGTAAGTTCTGTTTACTAAGAATGGTGAAACTCAATCGTGCATGAAAAAACAAATGTGGTATTTCTGAAAAGATATCTGTTAATCTGAAGCCTGTATCACAATTTGAATTAGGTCCTATGAATATCAGTAAGTTCATAAATACACTCTTGGATATTCTGAAGCTTGTAGAGAGAAACTTTGGCCTCTAGGCTTAACACTAGGAATCCCCTGAGAGATGAACAGTAACATGCAAAAGATGATTGTACATCACGACCTAGTACTTTTGAGTTTTAAGAATAATTTGCCCTGGAGAGAAATGTAAGCCTGCTGTTTGTGTAAACCTATTGATGAAGAATCACTGGATTTTCAATTACTGAAGTGATCAAGAATTCAGGTTCAATCATGCTATTACTTATTTATGTTGAAATGTTTAGTGTTCCTTGACATAATTTAATGACACCCAATCATAGCATAAACACAGGTTTTGTGCAACAGGTATGCAAGGAAGGTAATTATTTACAATTTTATTTGTAAGTCCAGCAAGCCCTGCAGATAAACCAGAGAGGTGGTTTTATGCATAAATTAACATGAGAAGTGACTGCAGAAAAAGTGCCTAAAAGTTCATGCTAGAAGTCATTTTGATCCGTTATAAAAACTGATATAACATAGTGAATCAAGTTGCTGTCAAATGGTAACACTGTACTGTGAAATTGTGATCCAGATTTGAAAGTAGCCCCTCTAAATTGTAATGTGCCTGATAAGGCTGTGTGTTCTGTCTTATTCAGGGAGAACTTTAAGTCCTGCAAACCCAGTTTTAAATTCTCGCTTCATAGGGCCTCCTATTATGAAATATCAGTTGATGATGGTCCTTGGGAGAAACAGAAGAGTTCAGGGCTTAATGTGTGTACTGGAACAGGATCAAAAGCATGGTGAGTACATGTTGCTGCTTTGACAGAAAATACCATTCCAGATAAGCTAGATGAACCTGTTTGGCCTATGCATTTTCTCCTTACTGAGACTCTGTTGGGCTATGGGTAAGTCAGTCTAATATTGTCACTGTCAGTACGGCTCAGAGCTGTCCCAGATGTATTAGATGAGCAGGGCACTCATTCCTTGTGGGTATGGAGGGAAGATTTAAAAGGGTGAGGAGATGTGGCACTGAGACAGAAGTTTGCCTTAGGTGTAATTTCAGTGAAAAATGTGGCATGCCACACGTGAAGATGAGTGGTTGAGAGTGGTGAAGGAAAGAGATTCTGCTGTGACTTGCAGAGAGCATACTGAGGTGATCTATGAACTACTCCTGTTGTCTAAAATTAAAATGTTTAGATGAACTTATAAAAATCCAAGCTCTAAGAAGAATGGGAAAACATGTATCTGGAAGCAGTGTTAAATATTCTCTGGGCACATCTACTGTCCATTCTCCTTTCAAGCCTCTTGTTTCTTTCATATTTAATTGACAGGGGACAGTCTCTTTGCCAAAATACTCCTCTTCAAAAAGGATGGCCACAGAACTAGTGCTAGTTTAATCAGGGGGGAAAATATTTAAACTTCAGTTTAAACGTGCTGCAGTACTGCATATAAGTATAATCAATTTAGTTTTGAGATGTGAGAGATGTGTTTGTGCTCATAATTTAGAGTTGTACAATAGGCACTGGATTTATGGGGTAGGCTAAGATGAACTAAACCAGAAGCTTTAAATGAAATTCAAAAATAAGTATTCATGCTGTAACCATGGTTACTGGGTTTTACTCTTCATTGTAATTCAGAATTTTGTATTCAGGCAGCATAGCTTAGTTCTGGAGTCTGCCAAGGATGAAATTGGCAGACTGCTAGGGAAAAATTCCTAGTGTTCAGTACCTTGGGAAAGTACAGTCTTAATTCATTGTGTTCTTACGCATTTCTTTTGCTTATACACTCTGTGCTGAGCAAACCCACAACCAGGGACCAAGTTCCAGGATTGCTTTTCTCCATTGCTGTAATCAGTATGTGTTGCTGGGCTTCTCTAAAGTGAGGCCAGACCTCACTGGAGTGATCTCCCTTAGCCTGTTGTCCAGGGGCTTTCCTGGAATTTCAGACTTCCTGGGACTGAGAGACATTTAAATGTCCAGGTGTTTCCTGTAGCTGCCAAAACTTGTGTCAAAGGATATCTTGATAGCATCTGCTCAGGCTTGCAGGTAGGCAGTAAGTGTAAAAAAGAGAGAGCCTTGGGCACACCCTCCGCAGCTCTGGGGTCAGATAGGGATGTAGTGGATCTGTATTGCAGTTTGGGGTGTTTTACTGCCATGACAGAAGTGCTGGACTGAGGATTTTAAGCTGAATTGAGACCTGGGCATGTGAGATCTTTGTGGTACTGCTGCACAATGGCTGTGGTTAGCACCTCCTCACTTTTGACTCTCAGGAGGAGACTGGGCAGAGGAGAGAGACTTTTTTTGGAGTTTTGCCTTAGTTCAGACTGAGGCTATGTTGACTTGTTCATCCAGAAGTGTCTGATCTGACTGTTTATTTTCTATATACACCAGTTCTTGTGAGATTCGAGACTGCACCTTAGGGTATAAATAAAGAGGTAAAATATTTGTAAAGAAGTGTTGGGGTTCATAGATGAGAACTAAGAGAATCAATCAGTTAGCAAGGGTTGGACAGACAGGGTAGGAACACAGTCTTTAGAGCTTCATTTTTTTAATGCAGACTTAATGCAGCAGTTTTTGGGGTATTAAGGCAGGGGGATTATTGACAAGGAGACTACATCCCATGGTCTTCTTTCCTGAAGACTTCCCTTAATGGATTTTTAAGCTTTACAAGGCCACAGGTAGATGCCAAAGCAAGAGTTTATTTAAGACTCTTTTTTTTAAAATTAACTGTGTTCAGCTCACCCTTAATAGCATTCTTTTTCCTCCCCAAATGTTGAATTTAGGTTTTCATCAGTGTGAAAAGTGTTTTGGTTTTGCTTGGCTTTTTCCTAAGTTGTACTGCTTACAGCAAACAAGACTTCTTCTCTGTCTAGGTCCTATAATATTAACAAGGTTGCACATCAAGCTATTGAAGAGATCCTTAAGATCGGTGAGTGAGCAGTGTGGCATTACTAGCCAAGTTCTATATTGATACATCTGTCTAACTGGGGCTCTTTCTCTCTGCTCAACAGCGAAAAAGCATGGAAGTTTGAATATGCCATTGAACACGGAACTGGTACAGAAAGGTTAGTGAAGAAGGCAAGATTTTTTTTAAAGTATCTTTTGCCAGTTAATTTTGTTTGTATTCTGTACTATTCACCTTTCAGTGTTTTAGCACTCTTACTTTTAGCAGTAGTAGTCTTTCTTACAGACATCAATTAGGCACAGTTGGCAAACAATGTCTTACTTGAAATGAAAGCACTTATTTAGACTTCTGTCTAAATTATCCTCTTGAGGAGAATTTTGGTTCTCCTAAAATTTGAAATAGTTAATATTCAATTACTAGAAGAGAGCTACTGAGTGATCATCCAGTAGAACTGACAGGAAATTTCCCTAAAAATAAATTTTTTTGCATGTAAAGATTATTAAACATCTGTCAATACTTGATGTTCCCTCTTGGTAGAGAATCCACTCTTCCCTGGAGGAATATGTTTTTCTGAGAGTAAATAATTTTCTCTGGAAAAACTAATGGCTGACTCCTCTGCTTACAGTAACAAATGATTACAATGAGTCTCTGCTCTACAGTCCAGAGGAACCAAAGATGTTTTTCAGTGTTCGAGAGCCTATTGTAAACAGAGTTTTCTCAAGTAGCCGTCAGCGTGGCTTCTCTTCAAAGTAAGTGTTGTCTGCAATAGCAAAGAGTTACTTCGTTCAGTGTATCTGTCACAGTATGAGCAATCCAGGACTTTCCCTTGAAGTGTTTCAACATCCAGTTTGTGCTTTGAATGACTTGAGTATTGTTCTTGTAACAGCAGGATGAAAATGTTTCTTAGTTGTGTTACGGCTTTTAATGTTTGATCCCTGCGTAATCTTACAGAATAAAATAATCTCACTGTGCCCAGTTTTGGACATGTGCCATTTCCCTCAGTATGAGACACAGACAGTGACAGACCAAAGTGAATTCGGGAAGGGGCCACTGGGAAGATAAGGCAGCTGGAACAAGTGGTTTATAAAGGAAAGACTCAAACAGTGCTTTCCTTTAGCCTGGAGGAGACAAGACTAAGTGGGAATCCAGTTGTTGTCTTCAGCTACCAAAGGATGGTTACAGAGGAGGTTTGAGTTGAACTCTTTTCAGATCAGAGTATAATGCAGTAGCCATGATTTTATAGGGTGCAAGATTCTGATTTAAAAAAAAAAAAAAGATAAATTCACAGTGAGAATAGTCAGGCAGTTGACCAGGTTGTCTCTGTAGATTGTCTTATCACTGTTCTTGGAGATACTCAAAACTTGGCTGGGCAAGGCATTAAGCAACGTAACTCATCTTTAAAGTAATGCCTGCTTTGACTAAATGCATTTCCAAACTGAATTATTTGCTAATTCATCATTTTAACTTAGGGCACTTGGGCTAGTGGAGCTTTAGATTGAATATTAGGAAAATCATCATAATGGAAAGGGCTCTAAAGAAGTGGAACAGGCTGCCTGTGATAGTGGTGGAATTATCATCCCCAAAGGTATTTAAAAGACATATAGGCATGGCACTTAGGGACATAGTGGTGGGCTTGGTAGTGCTTGTTTAATGGTTGAGCTCAATGATCTTACTTGCCTTTCCCAATCTAAATGATTTTATGACATGTGGAGCGTGCCACAATTAATTATAAACGCATACAGCCATTAGTTATTTGATCAGAATAACTGAACATACGAACAATAACATATAAACTATTGAAAGCAATACAGCATTGCAATTGTAATTAACTGTCAATTCAACCTTTTATATCAAAATAAATGTCTAAAGGAGCTCTGAGCCAAACTCTTTATTCTGTCTTGTTCTGCTCTAAAAGAGATGCCTTAAATTTTGTAAGATTAGATTTAAACTTAACTTAAATATGACAGACTCTGATAATAATGTCTTGACAATAATATGCTGCAGTTCTTGAAGTTGCCTGGCAAGCACCCTGACCTTCAGCTTTGTGTTTGTAATTACTTTTCTTCTCTCTGAATGATGTAACAAAAAATGACATTGATGTCCAAATTATTTGAACCTCAAGCATTGCTACTTGAAATATATTTCACATGAAGACCCCATATTAGAATCTTAAGTAAATGGGATCATCAGTAGCTTTCTTTGAAAAATATAGCTAAGCTTCAGCTTTCAACACCCAGTGTTATATTAGAGGCTGTGCTCAGACTCTGCGAGTATTGACTGAGTCCTTCTGTCCTCTCTGGACTCTTTGCCAAGTCCATACAAAGCACTGATAACCTGGGGGGTTCTGGTGCTATGCTGAGTGGAGGTTAAGCATTTACTGACCCAAGCAAAAGAATGTCCCAGAACCAGTTTTATTGTTAAGTGTTTGTGTGAAATACTTTAATTTTTCAGCTGTTTTGTGATAACTTACTTGCTGGGTTTTTGCAGAGTCTGTGTCCGTTCCCGTTGTTGGGATGCTTGTATGGTTGTAGATGGAGGAACATCTTTTGAGTTCAATGATGGGGCAATAGCTTCGATATTGATTGACACAGAGGATTCACTGTGCACTGTTCTGCTGGAAGAATGAAGGACCCTGATGTCTTTTGCTGAAACATTTATGGATCCATAGAGGGAAACCATGGGGATATCACAATGCTGCATTATATTGGAAGTTGGCCTTTTCGGATGCAAGAGCATTTGGAGGAAGCTTGAAATGCTTTTCATTCCTTTGGGTTGGGGAATCATTAGCCTGATATTTAAGCTTTTTTTGCATCTAGTGTAAATGTCTGAAGTGTTACCTCTAACTTCAGTGAGAATTGACATTTTATCTTGTAAGGCAAACATGAAAGCTTTGTAAACACAGGTAAATGGGTTCAAGTATTAAGTCAGTAGTATTAAATATTCAGATGTACAGTTTTTTAGTAACAGTCTGGGACTGATAAAACTAAATACTTCATACATACACTTTTGTAGAAAAGTTGACTGTCAAACTAGCAATTTGATGCAAGGATATATAGATTTTGGTAAACCATGTTGTTGATGTAAAAGAAATGAAAATACAAATCTTTTGTATGCTTTTCAAAAATTGTACAACTTTGTAGTTTCATACAACTTGTGACAATTTTTTTTTGTTCTTCCAATATTTTTTCTACTTTGTAGACTTACATCAAGAGTATAAGTCTGGTTTAGTACATCTTGAATGAGGTAGCTTTTAGTTTTTCTGTTTGGCTAGATAGGGACTTGAAATCCAAAGGTTTTCTTGAACCCTTTATGAAGAATATACAAATTATAGAAATCATGTTGTAGTGGGATATATTCCTTCACTGAATGGATTAACTGGCAAGCAGATGATCAGAACACTAGTGTATGTAAGTGGCTATCATTAAGACATATATTTGGCCTTACTAAGTTGAATGTTTGGAATTTTAAGTTTTGAATTTCTTATATTTCAAGAAGAATGAGATATGCTGGGTATTAGGAGTTAGAGTGCAAGCTCATACCTATGTCTTCCAGTTTTCCCAGAATGTTTTTACCTTCTCCAGAAAATTTACATTTCCAATCCCATGTTGAATTCTATTGATATATAAATGACAACAAATCACGTCTCTGCTCATGTTAGGTAATCAAGTTGATAATAGAAAGAAAAAAAAAAGCTCTGATTAAAGAATAGCAAGTGACCTTTGAAATCTTTTAGAAAAACTGTGAACTGTGACTGCCTTTTGAAATCTGTGCTTATAATTGCATAGGTGAGGCAGAATTTGGGAAAACATATATTCCTACAGCAGGAACTCTTCAGCTGCATGACTTGAAAATAGTATGTTTTGTCTACTACAGATTAGTTTCCAAGAGTGAGTTTTCTTAAAATGACTTTTGAATGAGGAGACTTCTGTAACAGATGTTCTCAGGTCTAATGGAAATGTTCTCCAGTGTGGCCAATCAATCAGTGTATTTATCGCCACTTGCAAAATGTAAACTGCTCTTTACTGGTGGAGGAAACGGACAAAGGGTTTTTTCCCTCTAGACTTAGAGTGAATAGAACTGAAAACAGAATTTAGAGGATACTGATTTGGCCAGGCCATTCAGTTCTAGGAAAATGTGAAATTGATGGAGATTTCTGAATAAGCTATCACTGTGTACATTTCACCTTTTAAGTGTGCTGCAGAGTTATTTACACTGTCTGGTTGTCTTGACTGTAACCTAGAGGGGAAAAGCAGAGTAGCCAAATAAGCTTTCAAAAGTTGGTAATTTCAGGAACTATCAGAATAAAGCTCTTGCAGTCAAAAATATTGTGCAAAGCTAGTCTAAAGGTAAAGACACAAAAGACTAATCTTTCTGAAAGTTGTGTGCACACAGACTAGGATGTTCTAGTTATTCTCAATCCATCTGTAACCAGTTAGGGATTGTCTATTGTGTGCCTCTGTCATGTACACTAATCAATATGCTGTTAGGATTCAAAAAATCCTCAAGTCCACCGCTGCCATTAACACTAATTTATTCCTTCCTAGGACTCTCAACATTCTTAGATTAGATTTAGGTATTGAACATGTGCACAGCAAATCTACAGCAGAAATCCCAACAACTGCTTATTTAGACATTTGTGTGCTGTGAAGTTTTAATGGAGACTGGTTAGTCAGATCAGTAAGCATACCTCTTAAGCACGCATGTCATTCCTTATTATGAACATGAAGACTAAAAGGTCATGTCTTCAGGCCCTATAGCCCCAAAGTATGATCTAGATTAGGACTTACTAAATTTTCAGTCAAATTCATAATTTAGCAAAATGGAAGCCTGACCTACTCATGAGTGGCCTCTACTGGTTTTGTCTGTATTTAATTGCAGTTCTGTTGTAGCATTTGCTGGTGAATGCTTAAAATTGACTAGGATGATGATTCAGAAATCTGTTAATAATAGTAAGCACCTACCTTTTTTTTATTAAACAACTGTAGGACCCTTTTTAAGGTTCCTTTATGACGAAGGATTGCAGTACAGACAACTTACTTGGTAGACACTATTCCAGGACAGGACTGAGTCTTGTTTTAACACTGATTTTAGCTGTGTGGCCTGACAGCGATTTTTGCACCTCTTCTACCTGTTGAGTCAAGTCCATGGTATTTTCATTTAATGCTAGTCTACACTGTGTTCTGCTAAACTAGACCTGTTATTCTTTGCTTTTATTTTTTTCCCCAAGTGGTGTTTATACATTATATAATAAAAAATTAAAAGGTTAATTGATAAATGAAACTGTCCTGTGCCTGATTTCAATCTTCAAAAGGTTTCATGTGCTCAGTTTCTTCTTACTGTTTCAGGTTGTTTTAATGGTTTGTGAGCCTTCATGCATTTATGTGTAGTACAGAGACTAATCAATGTGCCAGGTTTTGTTCTGGAGTGCTTAGGGCTACGTATTATTTCCCTTAGGAAAGGGTCAGTTGAGCACCTTAGCCAAAGGGCTTTCATATCTACTAAAGCTGTCATCATAACTATGAAATAGGCAGCAGTGATGCTTTTCCCCTTCCAACACTGAACCTGGTATGTAAAATTATTCCCTTCTAGTTAAAGGTCCACTACTGTTCCAATTCTGCACAGGCTTTAAAGCATAGTCTAATAAATGCTGAAAATATTTTTGATATTTTTGGTCCTTTAAACCACCACTGCTTAGAGAGGTTTCTTTTTGACCATGACACAAAGTTGGTGGCAAACCAGGGAAAGCACTCTCCCATCCATCAGTCATTCCGTACAATAAAGCAATTTCTTAGATCTTTATTAAATGCAAGAGAAGTTTCATGGAGTTACACTGTGCATAAGAAGAATTTACAGTAATGCTGTGCTGCAAAGATTTTCTTCTTGAAATAATTTAAGGTATAATTCTAAGGCAGCAAACTGAGGTGGCAGAATATTCTGTATCCTCCAACTTCCTATGACTCCTCCAACTCCCACAAGGCGTGTTGCCCATTCACTCCTTCTTGAGGGATACAAGCCCATTATTAACACCTGTTACTTACATTCTTAAATTCAATAAAAACCAAACCAGCTTAGGTTAAACAGATAATGCTTTATTTACTAAACTCTAGAAAGTCAAGTTAAATATCAAACTCATACAATCTTTCCACAGTAAGTAATCTGTTCTGCACTACCAGGTATTCATTCCTGAATGCTTTTCCTCAAGACTGCAGTGGGAAAAGCGGTATCTATGCAAAGGCCTAGAGTAATAGGCTGGCTACTTAAAAAAACATCCATGAATAAATTCAGCTGCTTGCTTACTGCATTCATGGGAAAAACAGCAGCATGTTTATGTCCTACAGAGGGTCCATGTTTTGCCCTAGGAATTGTCAGCTAAAACACCTGCTGGAACACATTCTAGGCTTATGCATGAGGAAGGACCCTGATAACAGATGCAAATGAAAGGCTTATTTAAAGTCATTACCTATCCATATCCTTTGTTTTTTGTTTTTTTTTTTCTTTTTGGACATTTACTCAGCTTCTCCTATGACTTTAAAAAAAAATCAACACTAGACAATAGTGGTTAGTGATAGAAATACAAGAAGTGAAGTGCTACTACAAACAAACTAATATAAAAAAGAAATGTATGTCTCTTGATAGCACCAAATCATCTCTTCCTTTTAGCACTCTTACACAGCAGTCCCAGGTTCTGGTTTTTGGTCATATTTAGAACTCCTTGAGCCCTCTTCCTGCAAAACTTCTAACAATGTATCAGTTCAATGTATCAGTTGCACTTGAAAGATCTTAGAATGTTTTGTCTACAATCAGGCTCACAGAAGCTACATTAAGTTTCTTTATAAAGTGTAATCAGAAAACCCAGGACCACAACTTGAAATAATGGATAACCAGCATCTATTTTCACAGATGCTAATTCTGAACAGGCTTCTCAGACTGTATTTGGCTAAAAAATGAAGGCTACTAAAGACAAAAGTTTCCTTTGTGGCCTCCGAGATAAAAACTTCACTATAGCTCCTTTATGCTACTTAACTTGTAAGGTATTGAGCTCTTAGCTGCTTCTGTGTAGATATCCCCAATTTACTGTTTTCAAGCTTGATTCATTCATCCTGCAGTACCTTCTCTTCAGTTACACAGTTGAATAGATTTAATAGAAGTATTTATTTTGAATTCCACGAACTCCTTAATAAACCCTACAAAGATATCTGGCACCTCTGCAAGCTGTTCCAGAAGCTGCAGACAGTTGCTAGAGGCTAACATTACTTATCAATGTAAGTAATTGATTTCTACTTATCAAATCACTTGGTGGTGATTTGTTTCATTTTTTTTTCAAAGATCCCCTGTAAAAAACAAGACTGAAAGAAATATTCTGTAATTGCTTACAGATCATCAAATTTCTAAAGGCTTTAAGTACAAAAAACTGATATAAAATATTATGAAACATTAGGGTGTAAAACAAGTTAGACAGTAACAGTACTATGATAAAAGGTGCTCCAGCACTTTTTTTCCCTAAGGAGCTTCAACGCACAGTGTGTCCATGGCATCAAATGCACTGTACATGATCACAAGAAACTTCTCAGTGTCAATCTGCATTTGATGCCCCAAATCTCATGGCTCTTTTTATTGCCAACAGTTGGCCTCGCAATGCTGGTAAAGTGTGAACCATTAATCTTCATGTCGGGTAGTGCTTCCTCAAGTAGCTGCAGGGAGCTATCAGTCACTATTCCAAATACCTGAAGAGTCTTCAGTGTTCGAATTTCACCAAGCTCTCTAGAAAGAGAGAGATAGGAAATTATGAATCTGAAAACGGTTTTGTCATTTTTCAGCCTGTACCCAAGCTACATAACTTAATTTTTACTGATTTTTTAGAAGAGGGTAAACTACTTAAGCACATATTTAATTGAAACTAGTACTCAGCACTGGTACTTCAGCAAACTGGTTGAATAAATTACTTTTTTGCTAGTCTCTCTCAGAGACTGAAAACAAACTGATTCTTCCCCTTTCCTATCCTTGGACTTAAAAATCTAGAAGAAGTGAAGAAAATTGCACAGATGAAGTTCCAGAATGAGGATACAAGCCCCTGAGTAGCATCAATCAGACCACAGTTTGTAGCAATATTTCAGAGTAGCCAGACCCAGCTTCTTGACTGCTTTACATTTTCCTAGTCATCATCTGAACTGTGTATCTTACAAGCAAGTACTGGACAAAATCAAAAGGCTGAGGCACATGCTACCACAGCAAAGCTTCTTCAGATCTTCATTTCAATAGCCCTATTCCTCTGAACCTTTTTTCTTGTTGTTGGCGATTTCCTTTGTGTTGACATCTTTCCTGAAAGTATTGGGATTGAAAGCTTCTATACTAATAAAAGGCAGAAGGACCTCATGAGAACAAGTCACTCTAACCAGGTTTGAATCACAATCAGTAACTGATAAAGGTGCACACAAAAGCAGATACACACAGCTTACTAGTCCAGCCAGTACTGTCAACTCTGCCAGCTGTTCCAAACCTTCCTCCACACTCAGAAATCTGCTACTGACATCAATACTGATGAGTTATTTTATCTTAGTTTCATTCCTGATTCCTCATACCATTAAGTTTTTTGAAACAGTATTTGCAATTCTAAACCTAAAATAAAGCAACTTTAAATTAATTCACCCTCTGCATGAACAGTAAACCAAAGCTAATTAGAGGTTACTTACACTAAGGCAGCAGGTGATATCTGGTAACATCGGCTAAGGCACAGGTGTTGTAGGAACCCAAGTTGTTTAAAATACTGGAAGCACTCAGGCTTTAACATCATGCTGTCACTGTACAGAGAACACATTAAATAAAGCTTTAAGTACACAGCAGTAGTAAATTTGCTATTTTGAAAATTCAGCCAGAGGAATTCATTGAATATCTACTTTTTCTACCACCAAAGTATGTTTTTGCTGAATATGGAAGCAACCCATGTCTCATGTATATGCTGTGCATGCAAAGGGGCAAGTGAAGCAGAAGTTTCCCTTCACACAGATACTCTGCAGCAGAACTTATGCCATGAATAAGCAAGTTCTCCAGAGATTTAAAAATACTATGACCAGGTCAGAACCAAAATATACCTTACTTTACAGTTATATGGCCAAGTAACAAATTAATACTAGAGATGACTTAAACCCTCTCTAGGATGCTAGGCTAATGAACTGTAGGCATCTAAATACTTCCATCCACCATTCTACCTATGAATTACAATCTCTTGTTAGTTAAGAAATCCTGTAGGTATCTGATATTTATGCTGGGGTAACAAGACATCATCAATTACTTACCTCCAGATTAGGTCACGCCAGATAGCAAATCTTCTGTAGGTTTAGCCTGAATAGTATTTTCTGGATGTGCAGTTGTACCTACACAACCTTGCCTCAATGCTAATCCCCTGAACCACAAGGATTTAAGGACTGGCTGCACAGGTCCTCTTACCTGAGATCTAAATGGACAAGCAAAGAACATCTCTCCACCAGCGTTTTCACATCTAAAAAGAGGTCACAGAGTCAGTCCCTCTTTCAGTAACAAGATGGATATGCTTTACACACACAGCCTGCTGATGTCCACAACCCCACAACTGAAGCACAATTTTTAAACTAAAAGGTACATGCCTAAGAGTTAAAGCATACAGTCTGCCTATGAAGTTACCTTACACGGACTTCTTTTAACCCTCAGCAAAACAGATACATTTAGTTCAGCAAATTATCCCTAGAAGTCAGTTGCATCAACCCCATCAACTTAAGAAGACAATAATTCAAATGATATTTTTGTGAAATCTACTGGAGACGTAGTAATGGTGAGCTGCCTGAAATACTGACATGTAGTGGAAAAGTAATGAAAATTTTCCATGCATCAAATATCCTTTTTTCAGAGCACCAAATCCTTTAGGCATCTCCGTTTTTACCCACAAAAAGTTCTTATGACAAAAAGTTATGTTTTTTTCTGATTTAAACAGTAAATTTTTGACTTTCTTTTCACTGTCTGCAAGTAGCACTGAATCTGCTATTCAGATATTACCTAAAAGCCATTGCAAGGTGCTCAACAACATTTGGAGTTTTGGTATTTCAGAATTCATGTGCAGAAACTAAACAAAACAATACCTTAATTATGATGATTAATGCACTATTCAAGTCTTATACCTGATAAATTGCACTCAAACAACACTAAAGTCACTCAGAGAAAGTGTCTGACAAACAAAAGAGGTCAGCACATGGTCTCTAATGGTTCACTTAGAGGGCCCAAGATTCAAATTCCTGATGTGGAGAA